GGTGCCACATGGGTGCAGCTTGATGGTAAACACCACAGACAAGGGCCCTGCCTCTGTGGCCTCACAGGAGAGCTGGGACACTGATGTCCACCTGGAGTGGCCAGAGCATGAGAAGTGACAGAAGAGCTGGGGAGAGAAGAGTTCAGCTGGGAAGATTCAGGCTCCCACACAGCCTCACCCCCCACACTGTAGCACGCACACACAGAGCTCACACGTGTGCATACCAGCATGTATGGGTGACAGAGTGGGATGTGCATTCGTCTTTGCTGTCCTCCTATTGCCTGGGATTCAGTCAGAAATGCCAGAAGGCAGAGAATGGACCAGGCTGGGTGAGCCGGCATGTGTCTGGGTTTAGGAGACTAGCTGCTGGGGAGACCTTCCCTTGTGGAAACCTGTTCCACCACTTCCTAGCTGCGTGACCTTTAACAAATGATTCAGGTTTCTCATCTTCCACTTCCACATCCATAAGATGGGGAAGATGATAGTTTTCACATCTAGGACGGCAGGAGGGTCGATGGAAATGTCTCGGAGACACTTAACAAATAGTTATTGTTACTTCATTTGTCCAACTTTCATCTCCTGAGCTCTGTGCGAGGTCCTGTGATTTGGTCTGGGCTAGGGAGTCCAGAAATGCATGGGGTTCACTTTCTGCTCCAAGGAGTTTAGTCTAGTGGGGGTGGGGACGTAGAAGGGCCATCACACTATCCTGATGCAGGTGCTAGAATTAAGGAAAAGCAGAGGAGGTCCTTTGCATGGTATCTGGCTCAGAGAGTGTGTTCAGTAAGTGACAGCTATTATTATTATCTTCGTGATCCTGGCTGCAGTCCCTATCATTTCCATCACCTGACCTGGTCCCTGGCAAAGGGGGAGATGCCTTTTTAGGGGTAGTTGGGGGGAGGCCCCATTTCAGAGGTGTCAGTTGAGCTAGACCTTGATAGAGAGGGAGGAATTATCAGGTGAAGAGTAATAGTGTTTCAGATGGAGGGTCCAGTAGGAGCAAAGTGGAGGGTGGTCTGGTATTTCTGGGTGCATGGAAGGAGAAGGGCACTGGGCTGGAGTGGTGGACAGACTGGGGCCATCTTAGAGAACTTCAGAGGGCGGTGACTTGAGGCAGTTGTCGGTCAGCTGAGAGAGGTCCCCCTCCTGGCTTCAGTTAATAGACTTGTTGTGCATCAAAAACTGTGAGATCAGCAATAATTAAGTCAATTAAAATGCCACTTACCACATTAACAGCAGAGAGTTTTAAAGCAACAACCCCCCTGAGTTTGGTTGGGGAGGGGCTTGCAGCCTGGCAGGGAGGGGGGAGGGGAGGGATAAAATTACTTCTGAACTGTTTCTCTCCTCCCCACCTGGAGCTTGTGAAGCACCAGATAACCCTCCTCACCCCTGCCCTCAAAAAAGGCAGAACAACTACAAATGTGAAAATCGCCTGTAATCCAATCTGCCATCTCTCAGAGATAACCTCTGTTAACATTTCAAGGTATCACCTTCCAGCCTTTTTTCCCTATGCATATTTATACATACATTACAAAAATGGGATCACATCAAGCATCCCTATTTCTTCTGCATCAGCACATGCAGATACACACCCTTGTTTTAAACTGTCACCTGCCTTCCACTTCGGGCACAACTGTCCCCTCATTTCCCAAAGTAATCCTCTCTCCTCGATGGACAGTGAGGTTTCTGGTTGCTTGCTGTCACAAGCACACCTGTGGTAAATATTTCTGTATGCATTTTTCTGCCTACTAAGGCTACATTTTTAGAAATGATGCTTTCTCTAAAGGAATAAAGACTTCTTCGTCAGCAAGGCAGGGGAAGGACCATTTCTTATTGCCCTAGAGAACCTGGGGTCGTAATTCTTCACATTCCAATATTTGCTGATCTGACTGGTGAAAAATGATATCTAATCACCTCTATTTTTATTTCTTGAGTTACAAGTAAAACTGAGATTTTTGTCATCGGATAGTGGTTATTTATATTTTGTCCTTAATAAGTTGTCTCTTCCTTTCCTTGGCCCATCTTTTATTAAGGTGCTCATTATTTTGTTTCTGTTTGAAGGCTCTTAATGTATTTTAGCTTCCCTTTTTTTGATTGTTATTTATTTTTATCAGTTTTGCTGTGTCATGAGTGATAAGGGTTTTCCAGGGTTTGTGGTCTGTCTTTAGCTTAGCTTGTCGTAGATTTGGATACAAAGATGATTCAACTCGATTCGCTCTTTCTTCTTTTCCCTTAGGTCTCTGCCTTGGGTTGTGGTGATAGTGCGTGGAATGGACTTCTATAAGCGAGTGATGCTGGCTGGCAGGTGTTATGTGTGGGAGTGTTGACTCAGAAATCTTTAAATCCAGCCCTCACCCCCCAATTCATATGCAAATGCTAATGCACCTTCTCACTTGGAAATTCCATCAGATTTCACACCTGTCATGTCCCCCAAAATCCACCCTCCCAGTTGTCCCAGTGCACCAGACTCAGGAAGAGACCCATCTTGACTCAGTTGCTCAAGCCAAACACTTGGATCCTGCTTCTTTGCCTTCTTTTCTTCCCCTCTGACAACTCACCCATCGCGGTCCTGTCAGCTCTACCGCCAGGGAGTTTCACCTGTCTTAGCTCTGCCGTCAAGGCCCTGGTGCGAGGACCTGGCCACTGGCCCAGACTTGCAGTAGCCTGGTCTCGGCTTTGTGTCTTGATCCTGCTTTCCCCATACAGCAGCCAAAGTCCACTTTTAGCCACAAATTGTATCATGTTACCCCCTTTTCAAAACTCCCCAGGAGCTTCCCTTCCATACTCAGCATAAAATTAAAGCTCCTTTCAATGGGCCATCAGGGCTGACCCCTCCTCTCTTCCATGCTCATCCCCTCCCCCATTCTGTGCTGCAGCCACCCTGGCTTTCTTGCCACTGTATAGCACGTACCAGGTGTCTTCATGTCTCAGGTCCTTTGTCCCTGCTGTCCTTTCACCTGAAACACCTTCTCTCGGTGCTTCCATATCAGGGGGCCCTTGTGGACCACATGCTCTCAGGTGATCTGCCTTTTGACTCTTGGCATTCCTCTGCCTCAGCCTTCTTTTTCTTCAGAGCACTTACTCCTGTCGGATGGACGCGATTACATATATTTACTTGTTGTTCTACAGCCCTCTTCCCCCGGGATATACATTCCGCATAGGCAGAGACTTTGTTACTCAGTTGGTCGGTGCTTAGTAAATATTCGTGGAACAAATATGTGTAATGAATGTGTGTGGCTGTAATATTAGCATGTAGATACATTTCCTGCCTGGATAGATATCTGTGAGGATGTCTGTGTGAGGAACTGTGGGAATGATGACAGTGGGTTTGTGAATAGTGCTGAGTTTGTAGTGAACGTGACAGCTTCTGAGAAAGCCTTGCTGGTATTGGCTGTGTATGTGGCTGCTGGTGAAACTCGTGCGCGCTTGCCTGTGTGTGTGTGTGTGCAGGTGCACAGTGGATGCTGTGGTTATTCATAGCTGTGTCTGTATCAGTGAGGGTGGGGAGCTGGAACACCAGGCACATTTTCCCTTTTGGCAGATGGACCTGCCATTGCTTCCCTCCACCCCTGTTTCCTGCCAGGGAGTAGGACACACTGGTGTGCCTTTGGGAGCCCGCGGACATTGAATCACATTCCAGAAATGGTATCTTGGACTCATGCAGGGCCGGCGCTCAGGCCAGGCGTGAGAGTGTCTGGGGAGCCCTGGGCTGATGGGGCCTTGGCAGCCTGTGCTCAGCTGAGCCATCTCAGCAGGAGGGACGTGCTCTCTGACAAGTGGCCCCCCAGGAAATGAGCACAGTGGGGCAGGGCAGGTCGTGGCTTGGCAGCGTGACCTCAGCACCCCACCGCTCCTTCCTTAAGCCTCGGCACCCTCATCTGTAGATGGGGCTCGTTGCTCGCAGCCTGCCTGCTTCTTGGGAACATGTCAGACTAGGAGGAGGTCATGGCTGCAGATTAGTAGCTGTCAGAGCCGGGTTCTCATCTCTCTGTGCAGCATCTTAAGATTTTAGTTCACAGTCTCATCAGCTTGAACACTTAAGTGTCTTCAGTCCTGCTCTGGACTTGACCCCGCACGGGTATTTGTGAGGATGAAATGCAAGCGTCTGAGTGATGAACTGATGAGGTGCTTAGAGCCTCAAATATGAGTAAATCACAATGATGAATATATTATTTTTTTATTTTAATTAAAAATTTTTTAAAGATTTATTTATTTATTCGTATAGAACTGGGGTACAGGCCAGAGATGTGGAGGGTGAGAGGATTCACCAGAGACAAAGAAGGGAGAAGAACAAGAAGAAGAACAAAGCACAATGCTGCGGGGAGCAGCGGGCGGGCCAGGCGTGGTCTGCCCTGCCCTTTGGATCTCCTCCGGGGCAGGTGGGGATCGAACTCATGCGGAATTGGCTTAAGCTTCTTAGTGCAGTGCTTTAAACCGCTGAGCCACCAGGGCGGGCCGTATTTTAAAATTTTATTTAAAATTGTTTTACATTGTTCATTTTTGCACAGTATTTCATTTCTCCCCTCGTTTGTAGCCCCCACAATTCTCCTGTCACCATAGCACTCATGAGTTGAATGATGACTAATGTTGTTGAACACACACTGTGCGCCAGCCCTCTTATACAAGCTTCTCTTAATCCTTGCAACAATCCCATGAGTTATGTGCTATTATAAATCCCATTTTGCAAATGGAGAAACTGAGGGACAAGTTCAATGACTTGCCCAGCCACAAAGCTGGTTAAGATTCCAGCCCCGGTAGTCTGATTTGAGAGCCCAGAGATTCGTGCTGTGGAGTCATGAGTGAGTGGGCGAATGGGTACATGAGGCAGGAGCCCCCTCTCTTAGCCATGGGTGACACAGGACCCATTCTGATGGGGAGGCCGAAACTCGGGGCTGAGGTTGGCATCCGAGGCCTGGGCTGAGGATGGTGTCTCCCGGGTCGGTCGGGCATGGCGCTCGCCTCACGCCCCCTCTCCTTCTCCCTGTCTGCAGGCGCATGCCACGATGCAGCACTATGGGGTGAACGGCTACTCTCTGCACGCCATGAACTCGCTCAGTGCCATGTACAACCTGCACCAGCAGGCGGCCCAGCAGGCCCAGCACGCCCCTGACTACCGGCCCTCGGTGCATGCACTTACGCTGGCTGAGCGCCTGGCTGGTAAGGGCCCTGGGGACGGGACTGGGGGACAGGACTGGGGAATGGGAGTCTGGGGAGGAGACTCTGAAAGATGAAGAGGGGGGAGGGAGGACACCCGGCAAGTTTCTCTGGGAGGCTCAGAAAGGCCTGGATCACTCAGCCACAGGAAGATGTCAATTCAAAATGGGGACTGTCCTATCAGTCCCATGTCGGGCATGGGAGGTGGCCCTGTGTCTTCCTGTCCCAGGGACAACCCTGTGAGGTGGGATTCACTAGCCAACCTCACAGATGAAATTGAGGTAGGAAGAGAAGAGAGTCATCCAGAGTACTAAAGCTAGAAGAGGGCTGTCATGCCCAGTGAGACTATTTCAGGCACCGGGAGTCATCTAAATAACAATAGCTCATGTGTCTCCATGGCCAGTTGTTTGCCAGGCACTGTGTTAGGCTCCCTCTCCATGTGCCTCAGCCATTCCACCCATGCCGTCTTCATTGCATGGGCGAGGAGACAGGCCCAGAAAGGCTAAACCCAGGTGGGGGTGGGGTATGGATTAGATGTAACAGTATGACTCAAAATACGGGCTTAGAAATCAGACTCCAAGCCATTGTAGGATCTGCGTATTCTCTTCTCTGAGCCTTAGTTTCCCTCTTTGTAAACAGGACAGGGGCAGTGCCCAGCACATCAGATGGCTGGGGAGTTATCTGAGATAACATGCAATGGATTCGGCAGAGACTGGCAGGTGCTCCAAGTCCCAGGAGGGAGCGGTAGCCTGGCCCCACTCCTGGTTCAACTGACTAGTCCCCTCCTGACTCAGTGTGCATGGCAAGGATTTGACAGTGGGGAGTGATTTCCTGGGAGATGATGCCACCTCCCCCATCCTGCCCAGGCCAAACTTTGAGCAGCTGGTGAGTCCATGGGGGCCCAGCCCGGTACCAGGTGGTCCTCAAAGGACTTCACAAAACCCCCAGATAGACCAGCTGCCACAGACACATCTGAGGCCATGGCAAGGAGAATGTAATCGGGTCAGATGGGCAGCTCAGCGCTGCGCAGTGTGGTCAGGAGGGCTTCCTGGAGGCCTGCTGTAGGGCCAGACCTTACAAGACATGGCAGAAAGGGGACAGCGTGAGCTAAGGCACAGATCTGGGATGGGGAATGAGGACCTGTGTGGGTAGTGGGCTGATGTGCCATGGAGGTGGGGGTCCACACTACCCCTTTAGACTTGCCAGTCCTCTGGGCAGAGCTCAGTGGGTAAAATGGAGCCGTTGGCCAAACCAGCTGTAGTTCAACATGGGGACGTCTGTCTCCACTGAGAGAATGTGTACATTCCTGTCTGGCTCTGGCTGTTCTGGCTTCTCCCCAGTTTGGAGTGCGTCCCCTCAGCCCGGCCTGCTAGTGACATCGTGTTCCAGGACCCAGACAGGAAGAGTCAGGGAGGAGTCTCCCCTTGGCTGGTGGGGGCAGAGGAACTGTCATATTTCATATCTCCCCCACCCCCCCTCAGTTCTCTAATCCTTAAGGAGGAGGGTGGTGGGCTCCAGACCTTTGCATGGAGGACTTCCACACAAAGGGGGTCTTGCTGGTGGCACACACAGCTGCAGTCCCTGTAGTAGGATATTGAGTGGTTGTTCCCCTGAACAGGGTTCAGCCAACAGAGGGGGTCCCCATTCCTTTAGACCCAGGTGCCCAGCCGCAGGGTGACCAGCAGAGGCTCAGGGCTCAGTCTGGGCTGGAATTAGCCCTGGTTTATGAGGGACTCCTGGAGGTTTCCTCTTTAAACTGCAGAAGGAACAGCCCAGAGCCTGTGGCTTCCTGGACAACGGTTCCCATCTTCTTCCACATTTGAAGTGTGGTGGATGAGTCCCCACCCCTGGAACGCAGGGGCGGGTTGCAGGGGCCTGGAGCGTAGGGGTGGGTTACAGGGAGCCTGGAGCAAGGCAGGAAGCCCAGGAACCACTTCCGGGTGATGGCAGGAGTGAGCACAGGGTCCATCCTCCAGCGTTGGTCAAGCAGAAGGGCTGGAGGCGAGACACCAGCCTTTGGCAGACATCTATCTTGAGTGGTTTCCGTGTGGCCAGCGTGGGCTGGAGTCCTGCGGTCAGTCTGTCTTCCCAGTAAGCCCTGGTAGTTAGCACCTGGTCTCTGTCCTTCTCTCCTAGAGGAAACACCCAGAAGAGGTTAAGACTGGATGCAACCAGTCTCTCCTGTGCTCTGAGGGCCCTGCCAGAGCCAGGCTTTCTGTTGAGGAGACGTAAGAGCAGGAGCCTCAGGTCCTGCCTCAGGGGCTCCCAGGCCAGGGGGATGGTGAGGTTCATACCAAGAGGACAGAGAACCAAGTGCCAGTGGATGCTGTCTGCCCAGTCAGACCTCTCCTAACTAGACTGCCGTTGAGGAGCGGCTCACAGCCTGGCTCCTTGTGCTCAGAGGCCAGGACCCTGTTCATACCAGATGCTGGGGGCTGGAGGGTATTAAAACGTTGTGACGTGCCTTTACAGATTCCTGGCCTCTCTACAGGATACTACGCTCATGGTATCCTAGGACTTTGAGGCTTCTTAGGGCAGTATCTGCTCACCCACCCCCACGCCGAATAAAGGAGCGCCCCTCAGTCACACTTCTGACAGGGGACACGGAGATGAGCTCCATTTCTGGATCGCTGGCAGTGAGGAATGGGATGGAGCGATCTTGAACTCAGTCATGTGGACAGGGGTGGGTGATTTTTAAGGGAAAGGGCCATTGTCCAGCTCTGGTGCAAGCCTGGGTGTCTGGAGTGGGTCCGAGCAGGGTATGATTCAAAAGCGAGTTCCCATAGTTAAATGGGCCCTCTGCTTGTCCTCCAACGGCTGTACATTTCAAGACATCATCTTGGAGGCCCGCTATGGCTCCCAGCACCGCAAACAGCGCCGCAGCCGCACAGCGTTCACGGCTCAGCAGCTGGAGGCCTTGGAAAAGACCTTCCAGAAGACTCACTATCCGGATGTAGTGATGCGAGAGAGGCTGGCCATGTGCACCAACCTGCCTGAGGCCCGCGTGCAGGTAAGACCCAGCTGCTCCAACAGAGTCTGCCGACAAGCACAGCCCGATGGCAGGCTCCCCGTGGCCGGCTCTCCGTGGCCGGCTCCCCGTGGCAGGCTCCCCGTGGCCGGCTCCCTGTGGCAGGGGAGCCATGTTGCTTTGCTGGGGTCAGACTGCAGCTGGTGTTCCTCGAAGTGAGAGGAGGGGCTTTGGGAAGGGGTTGAGTGTGGGTGCTTGCTAGGGGCGGGCCATGCCATCTTGCACATGTCTTCCCTGCCCGACACCGACAACTCTTCTTCCCTTCCCACCTCCTGCTGCTCCTCTCCCTATCTGCAGGTGTGGTTCAAGAACCGCAGGGCCAAGTTCCGGAAGAAGCAGCGCAGCCTGCAGAAAGAGCAGCTCCAGAAGCAGAAGGAGGCCGAGGGCTCCCATGGGGAAGGCAAGACCGAGACCCCAAGCTCCGACACCCCACTGGAGACGGACCAGCCCCCCAGCCTGCCCACTGGCGACCCCCCTGCTGAACTCCACCTGAGCCTGTCTGAGCAGTCGGCCAGCGAGTCAGCCCCCGAGGACCAGCCTGATCGGGAGGAGGACCCCCGGGCAGGGGCCGAGGATCCCAAAGCGGAGAAGAGCCCTGGGACTGAGGTCAAGGGACTGGGCTGCAAGAGGGGCAGCCCTAAGGCAGGTGAGGTGGGAGACGTGGGCTGGGCAGGGCCCGGCCTGGGGCGGGAGTCAGGGCCGACCGGGACTGGGTATACGAGGTGCTTGGAGCCTGCCACACATGGCACGCGGGCCGGCCACAGCAGGCCTGCGCCAGATGTTGACCCTTTGCTCACTAACTCCTGGGAATCTAGTGTATTCTCAGGAGAGGCTGGTGGCAGGGAGGGGTCCTCAAGGAGTTCAGGGCAAAAGTTGTGCAGCCAGCATGGAAACATCGCAGTATTTTGCAGACATAGCGGCGCACATAGGGTGCCAGGTAGCAGAGACTTGGAGTCGTGTCTTGAAGGGATGGCGACCTGGCATGCCGTGTAGCTCAGATACAAACTCTGGACTTGCGCCGGGAGGGGCTGGCTATGCGTGAGAGCTGGAAGGGAATGGCTGCCGCACGGAGAGGGGAAGCTGAGGCCCTTGGAAAGGAACGGAGTCTCCCCAGGAAGCCAGGCTTGGGGCCTTGCAGGTTCCTTGGGCTCCCGCAGGCAGTCTGGGCCCTCCCCTCCCAGGATGATGACAGGTGCTTCAGGGGATGTTAGCCGAAGCTTGTCTTGTCGCAGCACCAAGGGGCGGGAAGGCTGAGGGGAGGCAGACAGGTGCAGCCAGATGCCCTGGTCTTGAGTTCTTGGTTCTCTGCTTGCAGATTCCCCAGGCAGCCTGGCTCTGGCTCCTGCAGCCCCTGGGGGCGGCCTCCTGGGCCCCTCCCACTCCTACTCCTCATCTCCGCTGAGCCTCTTCCGCCTGCAGGAGCAATTCCGCCAGCACATGGCGGCCACCAACAACCTGGTGCACTATTCATCCTTCGAGGTGGGGGGTCCGGCCCCGGCTGCCGCCGCGGCTGCCGCTGCAGTGCCCTACCTGGGCGTCAACATGGCCCCGCTCGGCTCACTGCACTGCCAGTCCTACTACCAGTCCCTGTCTGCAGCTGCTGCTGCCCACCAGGGCGTGTGGGGGTCCCCACTGCTGCCCGCACCCCCGGCCGGCCTGGCACCTGCCTCGGCTGCCCTGAACAGTAAAACCACGAGCATCGAGAACCTGCGGCTTCGGGCCAAGCAGCACGCGGCCTCCCTGGGACTTGATACGCTGCCCAACTGACTGCTGGCCTCTCACCTGGCCCGGGGAGCGGCGGCCCCCCCAGCCCTACGGTTACCCCTGAAGGGCTCTCCAGGAGTAGTTACCTCTGTGAGCCCAGGGGTCCTGGGCACCAGTGCTCTCCCTGGCCCCGCCCCCAGCGCCCCAGCCCCCGGTGGGGTGTCCACACCCACACCCTCTGCATGGCCCTGCTTGGAGGCCGCATGGGGAGGAGCTGAGAGGCGGGCCGTGAGCTCTCCTTCTAGCCCCTACCTCAGTGTCTGTCGCCTCTTCCTGCCCAGCCTCGCTCCCCTTCAACCCCCTAGTAAGTGGATGTGTGAAATGTGAGATATAAATATAAATATATAAAGCTATATTTTCAGGCCCTGGCTGCCCCAGGCCCTGTCCCACTCCCCCCCATCTCCGCCACCCCTGCCTCCCTGCACCTCGCCCCTTCCCCTTCCCGGATGCTGGCCTTCCTGCTCTCTCTCTTGCTGGCTCTGCTCTCGCCTTTCATCTTCCCGACCTCCCTCTCCCTGCAACTGCCCTGTGCCCAGCCTTTCTCCCCATCCCGGTCTTCCCCCTGCTCCGGTTTTCTCTCTTTGGTGCTGACTGTTGGTGTTGTCAGTTCCCACGCTAGGTCCTGTTGGGGATGTGCTTTTAGTTTTAGTAATTTTGCTTCTTCCTTTCCCTCCTCTCCCTCTGCTGCCCCGCACCTGCCCCCGCCGGCCTCTGTTTCCCTTTCTAGGAAACTGTTCCTTTCCATCTCTGATAGAGGTGACGAGGCCCCCGAGGCCCCAGCCGGAGGCCCTGGAGTCACGAGCTGCAGGCAGGAGGTGGCATCGGCCTTGTGCCTGGGGCCAGCTCTCTGCCTGGGGCCTGCCATCTAAAAGGGCCTGGTCAGCATTGAGTGCCCCCCCACCCCTTCTCAGGACTGAGGAGGGGGGTGGAGGCAGGCGTGCGGCTGGAGCGGCAGCATCCCTGCCTGTGAGACCTCTGTCCCAGGGGCCGTGTCCATCCAGGACGGGCCCGGGCGTAGACCCCACTGGTGGGGTCCCCTGCCTAGAGCTGCTTTCAGAGAGTGGTGTCTTCAGAGCAGTGGCTCCGGTCCTTTCTCCCGGGCCCAGCCTCCCATTTCAGCAGTCGGTGCCCACGGCAGGGGCCAGGAAGGAAGGCCGAAGGCTGGCTCCTCATCACAGGGAATGCAAGCCCACAGCGGTGTGTGGTCTCAGGCTTCTGTTGGGCTTCTGTCCAGCTAGTCATGGCACGGAAAGGAGCGTTCCTGTTCATGGCTAGGAACACAGCTCTGCTAGCTCGCTGTCAAAGCCATGTGACCTTGGCCCAGCCTGCAGCCTCTCTCGGCCTCTCTAAACGTTCGGATTAGCTCACCTGTGACGTCCCACCAGCTCTACACTCTGCATGTCTGGGAGCACAGGGCAGAAGTCATTAGCTGCCTGCTGTGGAGCAACAGGTGTGCTCTGTCCTCTGCAGAAGACAAGGTGGTCATCGTCTCTGGGGCCCCAGAGTCTCGATAAGCTTAATGGGGCCCTTCTCATGGAGACAGTTTGGGTTTGATCCTGCTTTTCTTGAGTTCCAGTGCCAGCCTCTTCTCACATCACCTCCTTCCCATAGTTTTGGGGCCCAGGACAGGACAAGGGATGGATCCTGAGCCCTGTCCCATTGTGGCTCAGCACAGACTCCGCCACCCCCTGTGGAGAGAAACTGCATTTGCAGACTGGATGCCAGAGGCTTGTCTCTTCTTCCCTGGAAAGATGGCTGTGGTGGGAGTGAGGGTGGGGTGTGTATCTGTGGGTGCCTCAGTAGAATTGCTGTACAACAGTCAATACCCATCGTCCTTGGGGTTCTATCTGGGCTGGGGCAGATGGAAAGTGCTCTGGATAGGAACAGTGAGGGGACTGGTAGTCTGGGTCAGGAAAGCTGGGTGAATGAAGCAACAGAAGGTGGTGGGGAAGGGTTGTTGGCTGCAGGAGAGGTGGGGCTATGGTCTCTGCATCCGCATGGAAGATGCACCCCCACGTGGCGCACACCCAAGACAGTAAGGCTTTCTCAACGGGGAGGTCAGTGGAGCCAGGATCTGGAATCTGGCGTTTGGAAGGTGAATCCAGTCACTGGAGCATCCAAGGAAGGCAGGCATGGGGATGGGGCGGTGCCCAGACTCTAGGAGACAGAGGGATTTTTGGTTTTCCTCTAGAATCAGCTCCAGGAAGGTTTGTTTCTGAAACAAAAATGTCTTGACTGGGCACAGACACTGAAGCTTTTGCCTGTCCCTGGATGCAAATGTCTACCCTAGTCTTGGAGTTCAGCGGGGCTAGACATCACCGCTCCTCAGAAGACTCCCTGACCTCCTGTGTCCTGGCAGAGTGGTGCCACCGCAGACTCAAGCCAGATCTTTGTCAACACTTCCTCCTTCAATTGTCCCCATCCCACAAGCCAGGGAAGGCAGAGGGGACTTGGCCCTTGCCCCGAGGCAGACCTCAGCCTGGTTTGCGGACCAGCCTGTTACTGCAAGTGGCCAGGGGGGCAAGAGGAGTGTGTATCTCTAGGTGGCACCAGCTTCTTCTCCAGGAGTCAGGGGAGGGGGACCTCTACTCGGAGTGACCTCTGCACCTAAGACTGAAGCTGAAACCCTCCCACTCTCACTGGCCTTAAGGGCGGAGTCAAGGCTCTGAATGTCCTGTCCATCATTCCTCACGCTTCCCTCTTACTTGAGGTATCCACTCCCTGCTCCCTCACTTCCCCAGAGCACAGTCCAGGGGCCGGGCCCTCCCCTGCCACTGGCCAGTGGCCTGTATACACTGCTTTCCAAACCAGCTGTTTTGTGACCATTTGTGCTTAGAGGTCATGCCAGCCTGTGGCAAAAACACTGTGTACCGTATTTATTTATTCTGTTAGTTGGGAAAACAAGACTCAAGCCCTTCTCCCTCCTCCCCCCGTGTAGTGCAGCATGACACTGTCCCGTGTATCTGTCTGTTTGACTTTCTGTGACGTTGTGACCTGTTCCTTGTCCTACTTGACTAATAAAAGAGAATCTGGCAGCACAGCCTTGGGTCCAGATTCATTCAGGAGGCGCCTGCGGTGGCCTGAGTGGGCAGGGTCTCCCGTCCAGTGCAGGATGAGGATGGGGAGGCAGGCCTCACCACTGGCCACTGGGGCACCAGCCCCCCTCCTCCACAGCCCCTTCAGAGAAGTCTTAGGGAGCAGCCAGGCCTGGGAGGGGAGGGTCCTCTTATGTGTACTGCTGGGTCCTCACCCCAGCACAAGAGCAGGGGAACCTGGGGTACTCGGGTAGTCTGTAGGACAGGTGGGCCCAGGGAGGACAGATGACTGCGGAGGAAGTGAGCGCTCTTTCCGCAGAGATGAGCCAGGGAAGATGACAGGAGGGTGCCTGCTGGGGGAGGCAGAATGGATTCAAGATTTAAGCAGGCCCCTCAGACCTGTGGAGCCGGCACCTGTGTGTCTATAGGCGTGAGTGCTGTGCCACGGATTCATACTTTAGTGTTTGCGCACTGGTGCGTGAGCAGGGCAGAGAGGGAGGTGAAGACTGTGTGCAGGCATCAGCTGCGGGAAAACACACAACGTGTTGCTGGCTATGAAATCTCTGCCCCTACTGCTGTATTTCCAGGCAAAGATGACAGGCGACCTCCCTTACTCAGGCTTCAGCCTTTGGCTCCACCTCCCTTCCCTGGGGTTCAGAATGCCTGCACTGGGCCCAAGAGCCAGAAGGGGTGGTTTGAGCTGGGCCAGGATGGGGTGGGTGGGGATCCCCTGAGGATTTCCTGGGGGGTGGGGGAAGCACCGGGCTTTCCAGGGGCAGTGCCTCAGGCTGCAGGGGCCGGGAGGGCCCTTCCCTCCTCATTCCCCTGGTAGCTACAGACCCCAGGAGACACATTCCTCTCTCCCCAGGGGGACTGAGGATTAGGGCGAGGAGCAACCCCCTAGCCTAGCCTTTCCACCTCCCTGGGAGGGGCCCAGCAGATCAAATGTCTGCCCCCAGCCCCCATGGCTCGCCCACCCCTGCCTCCTACATACCTCAGCCCCACAGCCCACACTGTCCTTGCGTGAGGCACCCTGGGAATGCGGCAACTCCAGTCCTCCACGGCCCTGGCTGGGCACCTGCTGTGTGCCTGCCAGGGCTGGGTGCTGAGTACATAGAAACAAGCTAGGAAAACAGGGTCTGTTCTAGAAGCAACTGCAACTCAAAAGGAAGCTGGGGTTCAAAACAGAGACCCCTGGAGGACAGACAGGGCTCTCTCAGGCTCAGCCTGGGGAGAACAGGACAGCCTGCAGGGAGGGAGACTTTTGGGCTGAGTCCCCTGGGCCCAGTGTTCAGCAGGAGAGCAAGGGCGAAGCAGTCTCAGGAGAGGAACGGCTCAGGGGTCCCTGTGAACGGAGTGCAGGGCCCTCTGGGCAGCTCTGAGGACAGCGAGGACGGACGGTGTCAGGGGCCGGGATGGAAAGGGAAACCATAGATTGGATTGAAGCCCAAGGGCAGGAGAGCCTGCAAGCCTGGTGGGGGAGTAGGTGGTAGGACCTGCAGTTTAGTAAATCTTGCTGTCCTCCACCCATACCTTTGCTGCCCGGTGGAGGCTCAGGGAAGGAGGAGGGCTTTGTCCTGCCTTCTAGACTGGGGGAAAAGGGAGGGGAGCAGGGGTCAGGTTGCTGCTGAGCAATTTAGGAAGCTGAAGTACTCTGGTGACTCCAGGCCTGGGAAGGGCTGGGGTGGGGGTGGGCGTGCCTGGTTTGTCAAGAGGGTAGATGGGGACTCCTGGGCTGGGGCAAATGTCAGGGCATGAGTTTGAGCTCCGGCTGGTCTGATTTGCTGCGTGTAAGGACATTTCAATCTAGTCAAGGGAAGATGCTGGGGTGTATTGCATCAGGGCTCAAAAGAAGGGTCTGTGTCACTGCTAAAATAGACTTGAAGGTTTTTTTTTTTAAACGATTTATTTATATTTATTTATTTGTGCTTACAGAACTGGGGTACAGGCCAGAGGCTCAGGGGCGGT